TCCTATACTTGTTTTTTTATTAAGAAAGTAACTTCTCAGGTATTATGTTCACGTGAATTTCTGTATTTAAATACACATCTACAAAGTAGAAGAATACAAAAATAACTTCAGGAAAAATTACTCTTTCTATGCACCTGCAAATCCAAAGAAACACTGGATATTTGCCCACTGATAACTTCAGACACTTAAGCAAATTTTGGTCCTTCCCGTGTTACTCAAGCTTCCCTAATGAATGATGGTTAGCTTAGGTGTTATTTGGCAGGGAGCTAACAAGGCCTCATTTAAAAAAATGTGTATTACTATTGTCCTGTCTAAGGGATGTTTTTTACAGTTCACTGTTATTATGCTGAATTAGCTCTGCAGAGAAAACTTGAGGAAACACATGTTCAACAACATAGAGTATAAATTATGCATCTTTGGGCAACATACATATGGTAGATACCTGAAGGGAGAGTCTGTCAGTTCAATAACAAGCCTTTAAATAAAAACAGAAAAGTTCTTGGATCTCTAGGGCTCCTATACTGCCATTTATATTCTATCAACTGTATATATCTGTCTAGATCCTGGCACTGTATGTTTGTAAATGAGCATGTGTGTGTGTGTGTGTGTATGTGTGTGTGTGAGAAAGAGATTAAAGTAATGAAAACTGTGAATCTCCAAAGACCTCCAGGTTTAGAAGGGGAAAACAACTGTTAGTGAGTTTTTGAGCGACCCTTGGGATCTATCACGTCCCACCCTTCAGGACACGTATTTCCAGTTCTTTCTGATCATCCTGTTTGGTAGCTTTCATGTTTTTTCATGCTTTCCCTAAAGGGAAAAGATTATTCAACTATTAGGTCATCTTGTACAACTGCTTTTCTTTCTCAAGAGTCTTCTTTTTCCAGAAAGGTACTTCAACTGAAATTGTAGAAGAGATTTCTAAAGGATGAGATACTGTTGACAAGATTACAGCCAAAGCCAGCATGACTTGACACTGTGTCACACCGTAAAAAGAAAATAAGGTAAATTTTTTCTGCAGTCATTCTATGAAGCATCTTTTTGGAAATTTCATAACAGATAAAATGGAAAAGTTTTTTTTTCTCTGCCTTTCCAGTGTTTGCATTCACACAAATATTTTTACACCATTAGCTATAGTGGCAACAGAGCTTCAACATAGATGGCAATTCCGGGAGAAAAGAATATCCATTTAAAATGTATGGTTTTGTCAAACACAGCTCTGAGATAGCAAAGAGCTTTTATCATCAGGCGAACATGGCACTGCCAAAAGGCTGACTCCTCCTCTGGCTTTTAACCTCACAGCAATACCACTTTACCTTACGATAGCTTTAATGTTCAAACACTAAGAAGAATCTTGTGGTGATGCCTCAAGGTGTGGGAAGTATTCAATAGGGGTCATTCCCCACTGTGTTGATATGGTATCAAAGTGCAATATGTAAACTGATTTTCATGAGCATTTGCTTGCCCTCCTATTGACTTTAGAGACTGGGCAACCACAACAACTGGCCATGTTGCAGTTGAGCATCCATGGTTTTGGAGGCAATGCTGGTAATCAAATTTCATTTATTTCTTTGCTGGTTTCTCCACCTTGGCTGTGCTACCTGTCATGCAATAAACTGGTTCTGTGTGCACTGCATTCTTGGGAGCATTGTTTGTCTCCCTGGGGTGGGCAGGAGCCCTGGATAGGTCCTGACACTGAAGTCTCCATGCATTCTTCCCCCAATTTTCCCATGCCTTGTATCTACACAGTGCTTTCCACTGCAAGAAAACCCGAGTGTGCAAGGTGGCTTGTCTTGAACTAAAGAGCTGATCAACTAGCAGGTACTCTTTGCAATAAACCTGCTTTGCTGACCTAGAAACCCAAAAGCATTTAATTTATCAGCTATGGGTTTGCCTTTGTCCTGCAGGTCGTTTCTAGTGCTGGGTGGTGATCCATCACCTGTGAGTCATTAATTCCCAGCTGGTGTCACCATCTGTGGCTCCAGCCATTGTATTGGTAGTGGCTTTTCCTTGATACAGGTGCACACTGTGATTACTCTATCACATACTGTTAGTTTTGGACCACAGGAGGTTTCGTGGGAGCTATTTCTGGGGGGATAGATGGACAGAGAGACACAGAGAGGAAACTGTGTGAACAGCAATCAATGTTGTCCTGATACCTTACCAGGGGTAAATTTTCAAGCTCTTTTCAGTGCTCTTAGGGCACAAAGAGACCTTAATACCCCAGATCAGACTCACATTGGCCTCTCTCACACTCTCTGACAATGGGCCCAGAATCCCCATTTAAACGTAGCCCTGGCCTTTTGGTTCTTGTCTGAACTATATTATGGGTATGCTTGTACTCAGTTCTGTCTTTGACCAGTCTCCTGGGTGGGCCTCTAGCTCTGCCTCCTGGTGGTTATGACTGGACTCTGGAATGTCCTCTGAACTTGATTTGTCAACTTGCCTTACTGGATCATATTATTCTCACCCTGTGGGTTGCTTGCAATGGAATCACTCTTGGTCTCTGGCTTATCCCCTATCATGAAACAATCTTTCTCTTGCTGTTCTCTGACACAGTCATAGGTCTTGACAGAAATCCTCATTTGAAATTTTGCGTAAGGGATTATTCTGTGTGCTGTTTGGTTACCTAATTTTAGTGTATCTTGTTCAAAAACCCACAAGCTCTGCTTATCATATAGCAATATTTAATCTGTACTCATCCTATGTACAGTATGATTGAGCCTCTGGAAATGGAAGCAAACGATGAAGATGATGATTCACCTAGGTTGGAGGTATTGCCAAGGTTAAACGAGCAGCTGAGGTCACTTGGCTTGTTCAACTTAGAGAAGGCTGAGATGAGGCTTCATCAGTATATTAACTTTCTCCAAGGGACAGTGAAGGGGGAGGTGCTGACCTCCCCTTTTTGGTGACCAGTGATAGGACATGAGGAGATGGAATGAAGCACCAGGTGAAGTTCAGATTGAACGTTAGGAAAAGGTGCTTCATTGAGAAGGTGGTTGGGCACTGGAATAGGCTCCCCAAAGGATGTGGCTAGGGCACCAAGCCTGACAGAAATTAAGGACTATCTGGACAGTGCTGTCATATATTTTAGTGTCCTATATTTTAGACCTGTGAGAAGCAGGAAGTTGGACTGAATGATCCTTACAGGTCCCTTCCAGTTTAAGATATTCTATGACTTACAGAGCCCAGGACACTTCCTACTGGCTGTATGAAGGCCATACTATTATAGGAACAAGGCATTCCTATGAGGAAAATGAACAGTACATTTGCTGATCTAACTCTAATCACCATTTTAGAAAGATAGAGCAATTTGCATCCAATTGGGTATGAGGAAGCAATGCTGCCTGATGAGTTGGCAGGAACTGCATGCTCTTTTTCCAGTCTTGTCTGTCTGCTGATGGGTCAGCTGTGCTGCTGAACAGCCAACATGTCCTCTGACCATGGATGGATGGCACAAAAAGAAGGTACACTGTTGCAAGCTGATTAGGGAATTGGGAAAAAGATGTTTCAACACACTGGTTTATGCACAGGGCTTCTGTAGCCTTGATAATGTAGCCAATTGCCTGGACTGCAGGGAAAAGAAAGGTGAAAGAAGGAGCTGAGGAACCCATCTGAGCTATCTGTAGATCTGAGCTAATAATAGCCAACAGCAGCTAAAGCAGATGGGGTCAATGAGCTCTCCTCTCTCCTCCTTCACTGCTGAATTCACAACCATAGCTTGGAACATGTTGTAGTTGTCAGTCATTGTGCAGGTAGCAAATTACTGAGCACCTTAAATAAAGAGGGAAGAAAAGGGCATGTACCATGAGAGGTTAATTTGTAAAGCATGATGGCCCTCGGGCCTACAGAAGGGCTCCACATCTTCATTACCACAGGTTATTTTTGTGTGAGTTGCTCTGTAGGGAATTTTAATGTTCAGTAGGCATCAGTGATGTAAGAATTGGGTGGGGGTACCCTGAACGAGAAATGTGACAGTGGCCATGTCTCGAGAGGCAACCTGAACCTTAACCCATATCTAGATCATACACAACTTATCCAAGAGCTGTGGAGATGGTGGAGTCTGGTTTCCTATGGTTTTGTCTTGCATCCAAGGGGATGCATACTCGCATTGTTTCTGCAGGACTAGATTTCAGGACATTTCACTCTGCACTCAGCCAGGGCATCCATGCAGTAGCCTTCTCAGTGGGAGAGTTTATAAGGGTGTTCTCCTCACTATCAGCTTGCCTATTTTTCTTGCTGGAGGAACTTAAAATATCTGAGGCTGGCAAGTTTTTTTTACATTGGACTGGCTGGCCAGCAGGATTAAAGGTTACTAGAAGGAGACTGAGTCAAGTTATGCATACACATAAACATATACATACAGTGCACAATTACATAAACCTCAGTGCCTTAGGAAACTAAGCTATAAGTAGCACGAGGTGTAGTAGGATTATATGAAAAATAGTATTTTCCTCAAATAGCTAGAGAGTCAGTTAAGTTTGTTTGGACACCTGGTGGTTCAATAACATCTGAACATGTATATACACAGAGAGAGAAAATTATCAGCAGAACAAAAGGAGATGAAAGAAATCCACCTTGAAAGTATACACATGTCACTGACATTTTTGAAGTGTGTGTTGTAATACAGTATACACAAGCAGGTGTACTGAGCAGTGGGCATAATTTAAGCCATATTTCTTAAAGCAAGTAGAATTGGTTTTATTCTCCTTACAGAAATAAAGAGTAACATATCCAAGATTGGTGGTGGAACTACATTTTCAAACCTAACTAGTGGAGTACTGTCCTGGCTGTAGAGAACAGCAAGTCCTTCTGCAGTGTTTTCCTTCAAAAGAAAAGAAATCCATTCAAAACACAACATCTATGGCCAAGTTGATTTGTCCTAAACAGCCCACTGCAGATGATTAAGAGCAACATTTGGCTCTGCTCTTTGTTTCATGTGGAACAAGATGCTGTGGCAGCCTATACATCGTCATAATGATCATGGCGTAGTTACAGAATCCCCCGTTGCTCCAGAAATGTCGTGTGGCTGATAGATTAGGGCAAGATGCTGCTCCCCATATTCAAGATTTGCCTCATGATAAGGATATTTTTGGGTAAGTTGCTCCACAGAGAATTCCTCCCCAGAGTTCAATATGCTTCAGTGATGTAGGAATTAGGTTAGGCATCAGATGAAATCTGCAATCTTGTCTGATGTAACTGTAAATGACTGAGGTTAGGTTGCAGACAGCAGGAAACAGCTACTTAAATTCATTGTGACATGTACGTGGCGAGTTGTAAAATAATAATTTATAAAAGCAAAGATGGCAGTGTTTAATTCTGAATTATATCTTTGGAGCTATTTCGTTCCTTTAAAGTTTAAGTATCGAAAGCACTGAGTTCTTGTGCACAGTTGACTTCAATGTAGACATTTCTGAAAGCACCTATAAATATATTTACCTCTCCAAATTTGATTAAGGCTCTTGTAAGTGCAAAATATTCTCAAATCTGTTTTGCATTCTCTCAGTTAATGTTTTGATGTCTGTCTTCAGCTTTATGCTACCACAGAGTTGGCAAGGCACAGACAAAGCATTTTTTCCCAGCTCCCAACCACATCATAAATTCCACAGGCTTATAAAGCAGTGTTTATTCTGCTGGCATTCCCTAATGCAGCAAGTATAGAGATGCCTAGCAGGGAAAAGAGATGATTTGGGTACAAATAACTACTAATAGTAAAAATTTTACTGTACTGTGGAAGAAAATTTTCAAGGGTTAATTCGCCACAGATTGCAATTGTTCTTCTAGAAAAGCTGCTTTGAACTATGCATGGCAATCTGACTCCCTGCTTGGGACTGCTGGAACTGAGCAATGATCCAGTGACATTCCCCAGGGAAGCTTTCTTGGCATGGCCTGTGCTCAGTTCCCTCCAAACCTGACATTCACAGAGAAGGAGAGAAAGAAATAGCATAGGGGTATCTACAACCTTGTAGCTGTCCTACAATCTAACTGAACTCAGTGCAGTAGGTGAAAAAGCATCTGTTTGGATGGGGGAGCATTCCCAGGTCCCAGGGATGAGGCACCATAGTCCCTTTCCCTCCTTCTCCTGGTATCTGAACAGATACTTCTCTATCAGGTATTATAACCCACAGACATTCAAAACTCTGTCATCCAGAAATAGGGTGATTTGTTTTAGTAATCAGATCATACTAATAAATATGATCTTTGTTTCTTTACCTTTTGGTGGTGCATCTACAGATCACCTTTTTTTGGATTTTTAGGTTTTTTTAATATTGACAGAAAAGGGATTTACTTCTCTCTCGTTCATTTATTTGCCAGGGGTATTTTTCCATACCAATTTTTAAAGTTTTCATGCAGCACCAATGAGCATGACATTTTCTTTAAAATGTGTAGATTGGAATTCTGTTAAACCAAGGCAGAGGGTTTAAGAAAGATACCAAATATCACGTTTCACACTAAAACAAGTGTTGTTCAAACCATTATTTATAAACATGGACTAAGTAAAATAGAACGAGTCCAATGATTAGCAAAAACACAACCTCGACAGCATATATGAGAATCAGACAGGCTTCGCAAAACAATGCCAGACAGCAAGATAGAAAACAAATAATTTCCTTATCAGGTGATGCCCTCAGAGAAGAGCTTCATGACCCCGGAGTGCTGAACACTTCTGAAAAACTGAGGTGGCAAGAAATGTAAGGAAATTATGCTCTAGAGGTCAAAAGTCCCTAAAGGAAACTTGGCATAGCCAACCTGAAAAAATATGATTAGGAGCTTGATTCTGACTTCATATGCTACAGATTGTCTTAAGTTGAGACCCCCTGAGAGTCACTTATCTCAGTTGAACTATAGTTTTGTATTGAACGTGGAAGTTTTAGTGGTTTGTAGCATTTGAATAAATGTTTTGAATAGCCAGGCAACTGACAGGTGCTTCTGCAGGGCTCAACTCCTGCCATGGAGAAGAAAAACTCTTGTGGGTCTCAGGCTCAGGTTCAGCCCCCAGAGCACCTAGGCACCTCATTTGCCTGCTGTTCTTTCTCAACCTGGGCAAAGCCATGATAGGCAGCTATCTCCGTTGTCCTGTTCTGTACAGTTCAGAACAAGACCACCAACACTCAACAGATGTGACTACCCTACCTCACCACAGTCTTTTCAGCAAGGAGCCAGGTAAGGGCTAAATTTCCTTGTTGAAGTGAGCAGGGCTATCAGCAAGTCCTGTCCAAGAGCCATAAGCATTCTTCAATCCTAAATCATATGGCTTGGCTTCTGGGAAGAAAATTATTGGTCTGTGCTGGTATGCAATAGCCTTTTAATCAAGTGACTGAGGCTTCTTTTTTGTTATTTAAAAATACAGACCTGGTAACAATCTATAATGATTCACTGAGAGCACTTTTCAGGTAAAGGTCTTGAGTAGCATCCTTCAAATTTTACTAAACTCTTGTGAGGTAAGAATTAATGTCTGGCTCTACACATGGGTACCTTTTGCTCTGGGAAGGCAAGAGGCCAATTTCATAGAGGCAACTAGAACCTCATGGCACTCATAAACTTTGGAAAACACAAGCCGGGACATTTTGCCCACAGTGGGAATGCAAGGTGACTGGTGTTCAGTTCTCCAAGTGTTTTGCCTGCTTGTCATATTCTTTAGCCATTGGGCTCTTCTGCCTGGAGTGCCTGAGTGCTGCGGTCACGGTGTACTGCAGGCTACTGCATGATTGCATGAGATGCACTCTGACTCAAGGCAGTCTGATTTTTTTTTCTTCCTCAGATCACTTTTTCCCTGGTCTCTACCTATACCTAGGCAGTGAACAGAGTAAAATGCAGAACTCCTAATAACAGTCACATTGAACTGAAAAAAATACTAGCTTTAATCCTTTTTGTCTGTGTCTCTGCATTTTCCAGCATCTATAAAACGTTATTACCTATATATTAAAATACAGCAGATGTTGGTCAAGCATTTCTACTTAAGACTTAAAGCTAAGCTTCCACAACCATCTATTGCTCCTGGAGTGAGACACTGGGGAGTGGTTAAGCTTTCTTGGGTGTTTCATAAAGGCAGTAACCCTTATGTGAGCTGTTTCAAGAGTGGACTGGGTACTCTGTCAAGATGTTTAGCAGGGAAAGCCTCTGCACACAGAGGGTCGCTGTAGTCATCCCATCTCTTGGTGCCTGTGATCTTAGTATTGGATGTGATGTTATTTGGGAACATTTGTTTTGGTTTTGCCAAGCATGTTTACTAAGTCCATGTCACTTGACTTCTTGTAAGTCTCCTTATGGTCTTTGTACTATGTTCACCATCTGATTTCTTTTAAATAGTGTAATAAGCAACTCAACTAGTTATCAAATTTGTGCACAGGAATATTTGAGAGGCATTTTATTTCTCCAGACACAAATGCTAATCCATTCATTAAATGCATTTACCAAAAAAACCTGCCAAAATCTACAGGAAATTATTTTGTGCCAAGAAAGTGTGAATATAGGAACTGTTGGTAAATTTGATTACTTTTTTTCATCTTCAAATCACAGACTATTTATATTCCTATACAGAAAAAGCCAATAATATTTACAGAGCATGTTGAACATTCCTGAAGCAGATTCTTAAAGGATTCTCTTTTCCTTATCTTTTTCTACATGCTCTTCAGGCACTGTTCTCGTATGCACAGAATGAGTCATCCATTCAGGGCATAGAAATCATATTCCCGTGCTGAGTCATGCTGGCCAGATACAGTGTCAAGCATCAAAAAACTGAGAAGATACTTGGCCTCAAAGAGGCAAATGGAAATGGAATGTGTCTTAACTATTACAAACATTTGTTGAGCAATTCTGACAAATATATAAAAATCATTACTATCTTGAGATTAGTAAAAGGAGTAGTTCCAGGAACAGAAGAACTAAATAAACATAATTTCCTATAAATCTATTTCATTAAGAAAATATGTAGAAATCCTTTATTAATCTATTAAATTATTTAAATCTATTTATTTTTCTTAAATCTATTTATCATTCTTGTCATTGGTTTGAAAAGGATGAGAAGTTCAGTGGAAATCTCTTTCATTACAGAACGTTTATCTCTCTCTGAGGGGACTTTCTCATATCTAACAAGACTGTTTCATCTCAGAAAGCAGGTTTAAAGGATCTTTTATTTTTGGTAATTAGGAGTTACCAAACTAGAAGCAGTGCCTGAAGTGTTAGTAGTAGCAAGCAGGGAGGTACTGCTGGAGGAGAAACTTAGGAAGATCCCATAATATCTAAGGTGTTGAAAGACAAAGCAATAAAGCAAGTCAAATGGTGATAAAGTTATTTGCCTACATATGAAATAAACTTTAAGTCTCCTATAAGTACACCTAGGATTGCATTGCCCAATAAAGCAGTAGTTTTATTCAGGGCCAAATGCTTGCAGAGTAGTTTCCAGTCTGAATATACACAATGAGAAATTAGACTGATTTGCATGGTTATGGCATAGCTAAAAGCATGCTGAGGTGTTTGAGTTCAGGCATTGATCATTGTTCAGGTGCTTTCAGTTTTGATTTGATTATACAGGACTGCTGTAAACAGTTTCTGAATAACTTCTGAACTTGAGCCCTATTTATGAGGCAGGACAGGTCCAAAGTTTCACATACTATTTCAATTCACAAACAGTGCTGTTCACATGTGACTGAACTTGTATCTGGGCAAAATCTTAGGCAGACTAAGGGGAGCAACGTATGGTAAGCCTTTTTCTTTTGGGATGGAGTAACTTTCAGCTTATGATTCTAACCAGAACACTGTGGATGCAGTAATTTGACCTGTGCTGTTCAGTCTGTGCTAATGACAGTTTGAAGCACCTTGCATCAGATTGGGCAGGAACCCTGCACGAAGCTTGGAGGAAGGGCTCCATTCATAGAGAGCAGGAGCATCACCACAGCTTTTTCTTTTAAAGAACAACAGTTTCACTTCACAAGTTTGCAGGTGATCTAGCAAAAAATACGTGAAACAAGACTAAGTTGTGAATCACACATGAGCTGCTGTAAGACTTGAGGCTGTCAGACAGCAGAGGGGCTATTGCTCGGCTAAACCTCTCTCAGCAGAGTGAGCTGCAGTGCTGCATACCGAGAATAGGATATACTTGTGAGATTTGTTTCTGATAAAATAATATTAATAACCTGATATCTTGTGGAAGGACTCTGGAAGTGCAAAAATTACAAAGCGTGGGCCCACCTGGAATGAACTGTTTTAGATTGCTTCTAAAATTGCATTTAAAATTAGGGAAATAGGTATTCTCCACAACCGATTTTCCCTTTCTGTCCTTTCTTCTCCCAAGGCTTTTCATTTCCACATTTCCAAACACATCAGTTTTAAACCACATGGAAAAGGCCAGGCCATTCGCTACTGTGGAAAGTGTTGAACAAGACACACTTCTGGAACCTGGCCACCAGCTGTGCCACATTTACTTTAGTGAGGCTCCTAAGGTCTTTAAATTAAATAGCAGCTATGATAAATAAGTAAATAAAAATCCCAGCTCTCTGGAAAGTGGGAACTATTTTCCCTCTTCCTTCATTATGACTAGAAGCTCTCCCCTCTGAGGCTAGACAAGAGCTAGCAGAGCTGCCTGCCCAGTAGCATCCCAGCAGCTGCCAGCTACCCCAAATGGCTCAGCGTGCCCGGGAACATCAGCGCTGGTCAACGTCACGCAAAAGGGCTGGTTGGCTGCCTGCGCAGACCTGCACAGCTATGTGAGTGTGTGCTCTGCGAATACCAGCAGTACCACCCAGACTTCAGTCATTAGCCTAAGGTCATCGGTACATTTCTGTGCATGGGAGTGTCTGCATTTTATGTATCACTATGGCTTGTCTGGGTGTGTATATATTTGTTTGTGTGCTTGCTCTGTAATGATCCATCCTAGCTTACATGTATATTTTAAAATATTTTTTAAAAAGAGGGTAGATATCATTATCTAAGGGAAAGAGAAGTGCAGGGTCAGAGGCTATGCCCTTTGCTGAAGGGTACAGAGCAAGTAATTGGCAGAGACGTGCACTGGTACACCAGGTTTCTGACACAAAGCCTGCAGTCTCCACTAAGCCATGTTACTTTTTTTGCCTCTTCTGTGTAGGAAGCATTCTGAATTGTAGATTATCTATCAGGCATTTATGCCACTGTGCTTCAGAAAGCCCTGTGGCAATGGAGAGAGGAAATGCTATTTCTTTCCTTTACCACTTCTGCTGTTACTGACAGCAAGACTTAAGCTCAGCAACAATTTACTCGACTAAAGCCTGAACAACAACTAACTGCTAACAAGCTCATGTGCATCCTTCAGCAAATGTTTGATACAGTGACCAGCCAAGTCCAGCTGCATTCATTTCCAGTGACCAAAGCAGGTGGTCATGGACCCAATTATGACTTTGAATGCTAAATCAGAGTCCTGCAGATTACCCAATCCAACAATTAGTCCAGCCCTCTGCTTTGCTGCAGGTTTGTTTATAATGATCAGTCTTTTTTGAAATTATTAGTTTGGGTTATTATGGTAGAATTTACTGAACAGCAGGCTGTTTGGCAGCTTTCAGTTTGGAATTTTTTTAAGAATAGTTTTTTCCCCAGAATTTTTCAGTAAAACAAAAACGTAGAAGGAATCACTTCTGGGAGTGACATATTTTGTTCATAAGATGTTTTCTTCAGCAACATTATTCAAAGAAGTCTAGAAATAAAATTCATTCTTAACCAATAAATTAAATAACTTCAACTTCAAAATGTCTGAACAGACAGGAAGCAATCTTTTGAATTTTTTTTTAACCAAACACAATTTCTGGAAACAGCATACATTATCAGTATGGCCTATTCTGTGCTTCTCACAAAAACGAAAATTTACATGACAAATGTGCCCACCTTCAAAGTAGACTATAAACTCAGAGAACCAACTGAATAAATCACTTTGCAAGAGGCAAATACTTTCCTCTGATCTTTTTTTGGACTGCAACCTCCTAGGGCAGGGATAGTCTTTATTTTATACCATCTATTGGAACAACGCACTGCTGAAACTTAAGTAATAGTTTCCAGCAGACTTGATTCACGTCATAAAAATCAGCTTGTGCCCTCTTGTTGACACCTCTGGGTAGAGCAGGAACGGAGCAGATATTCAAACTGGATGTTGTTTAATTTCAAGTAGAGTTAGTGAGATAATACGGTGTAGAGTGAAGAATTTGCCCATTAGAATAACATGTTGGGGCTTCTTTATTCATTTCTCAGCTCTTAACCACATTCTCACATCTCATTGTAGATTGTGAACTACAAGCCACATATGAAACCAAAGGAGTCAAGGAACCTATGTGTATTTTTGTGATATACAACATAATTTCAACACTTACCCGTGTACTGGCTGTGTACCCGTTGACCCCATTCTGTTACAGGAAAAATAATAAAAAAAATCTTTTTCCTACTTTTTTTTTTTTATATGAAGAAGACAGACAAGCTTGAAACAAACTCCATTCCTTTTCCTTCCCTTTCTGCCTCCCCTGCAAAATCAGTTAAAAACATAAATCCTGAGGCTATAATTTGATGAATTTGATCTCTTCTTTTATAGTGGTACTAGCAGACAGGTTAAATCACTGGGCATACCCAACAGGCAGAGTAGAAAAGAGGCTTTCTGTTTCGTATATGCTGCTTTTCCACAGCAAAGCAATATGCATCCAGAAGTCTTCAAAGATCAAATTCTGTTGCCTTTCTTTCTCTGTCATTGTAAGGTATTCTGAGGAATCTGATGCTTGAGATAAAGGAAGGTCAAGCCACAGGTGTTCATGGTCCTGAGTATCCTCATCTTTCGTGAGGCTCTGCTAGGATCTGTGGAAGCCATACATGTGCCTATAGAGGCTGGTCTCTTTCCTTAGTGCTGTTCAAAATTGCAATGCCCCGGCACATGAATGGACTTATGGACAGATTTGATAAGTTCTTAGAGGACCACATTCCTTAAATAACTTGTCAGCATCTTGTTCCTACAATTTTTTGGAACATAAGATCAAGAACTTGCCCCATGGCCCTGTAAATCAGCAGGGCTGTATTAACCTGGGCAAGCTTGAATGTAGACGGAGGTGCTGGACATGCTTTCCTTATTTCGCTCTTTGTCATGCAGTGTTTTCCTAATGTCATGCACATATTGTACAAAGCAGAGATTTACATATTCAGTATTGCTATCATAAAGCTCCACACTAAAGGCCAGATTCCAAAGCCTTTACTCATGGTGAGTAGGTCCCTCCTCCATGAGTAATGCCTTGGAGATTAGGGAAGCTCCTGGTGAAATGAAGTGTTACTTAACACATGGTAAGCTTTAGAGCCTTTCCCTGTAAAATTAGGGGCAAATATCGTCTCTTCCCCTCCTGTACTTCTGGGTTGATCTGATCCCACACATACAGATCCTAGGTAGGTGAGTGTCATGTGGGAAGAAGCCAACAGCAGAAACGTGTGCGGCAGCCTGGTATCGGAGACAAATCAGGGGAACTCAACCCAAATTATCCCCCACCTCTATGGATATCTCAAGGATCTGGCAGTCCTTATCCACCCAACACTCCATAAGTATTTTCTGTAGCTGGACAGAACGTGTGTCCCACTCTATGAGTTCTGGGAGAGAGCAGCTCGTGAGTTGATACAAGGGACAAGCCTTCTCTGCTGTTTAAAACAAGCTCCAGTGGTGGTGGATGAAGACCATTCCCTCCCCAGAGGAAGAAGAAGAGGTGTTCTTTGTATGTAAATGCCTTAAAAGCTGGAGAACAGTGCCTAAGGACTTCCACTTTTGCTTGCCAGTATTAATTCGGTGCAAGAGGAGAGCAGCTGTACTGTGTCAAATTGAAATTGGTGTTTCCATGACACCTCTCCTTCCCCATCCCAAACAATCCCAGTGGCTGCTGTGGTGTTATACCTTTCCTGAGACAACAATTGTGCTTCTGTCCCTGTATTTAACAGCCCTCAAGGAACTTGAATTCTTTTATGCATTGCTCATATGCATCACAACATCCTATGGCAATGAGCTTCACAGCACAACTGGGCACCAAAGGGAGAAGCCTTTGGTAAAATAAGGTTCTTGTGGAGTGTGGGGTATGGGGCCTGCAGAAGATGGCCACTGAGCTCTGCTCTTCTTGGGCAGGTGTCAGCAGCACAAGTTTCCCAATGTCCTGACTTTGTCCCCAGCAAAACTGGTGCTGATTAGCAATGCCATTGCTATTTGTGTGGTAGTTATCTGTGTTAGAGGTAGTTCTCTGTGTTAGACCCAGATTAACAAAGACGCTGTGGTATTTAATTCTTAAAGAAAACTCCTGTGCTGTTTTGAATATGAAGTCTAATCTTCCGGCCTTGAGTAGAGGCATATTGGTGAAACATTGGAAGAGAGCTTGCAGGACTTGTTATACTTGTTCTGTGAATAAGACGAAGCTTTCTACTTCTCAGACTGTCCTTCTGAGGAATTTTACTGGCACTAAAGTAAACAAATGCCTTTCCTAGAGAAATGCTGCTATTTAAAATGCTAAGGCTGGATTTTTGGTTTAAAATGGAAAGAAAGCAAATACATCATTCCACTCTGCCAGTGGCAGTGAATTATTTGTGTGCTTTGGACCGGCCTATAGGCACATACACAACCATTATGTAGCAAATCCCACCTAAGTTCAGTGCCCCTTTTCACATTAGGCTCTGAGTAAGTCTGAGTGGGCTCCATATCGAGGGCAAAAGGGAGGGCTGAAGCATCTATATTAGTTGAAACCATGGAGATTGCTGTTCATGGCCTCTGTTCCCCCTATCCTTTCCCATGCAATACAAACGAATGGCCTCCTCCAAGCTTTTACCCTTGTTTTAATTCCTCCTAGAAAATTAAGTGTCAGATGTTCATACTAACGTAGTGGTTAACCAGCCTGTGGTAAAAACTCTTGGCTGAACTGGCTTGATTTATACTGCTCTTGTCACCATAGCAGTAATTAGAGTGATCAGAGCAGCAATGCCAATGCTGTATTTCATTGACTTTGCCCTCTTTCTATTTCAGGGAAGAAGCTTCACTTAAGAAGTGAGAGTGCAGGGGTTCCCTCAGACAGAAAACCCCATCTCAGAGATACCAAACCAAAATCACGGTGAAAGGTCAAGATTTTAAGAATACTTAGCATTCCTAAAGCCCTTCCTGTCTGTAAAGCACCATGTAGTTATTGTTATTCTTAAAAATTGTTTAGGTATTTGTGCTACTCGTTATCCCCATTTTACATAGGGAGGGTTAGGCTCACACAGACTTCCAGCTTTTGAAGCTCTGGCTCCTACTTCAGCACCTAATTTTTTTAGGCCACACATAGCAATTCACCAACTTTGGGACAGACTTTTTTACCTTTTTGCACTAGTAAGCTGTGGAGGTCTCCCAGAGAAGCAGTGATGGGCTCCCACTAGTGTCTTTGAGGCATTTTCATTGTCATTCTTATTTTCTCTTGCCTCCTTCTTTGTACTCATATAAGCCTGGTGTTCATTTACGGTCAATCTTCTGGTTCTTGAGAAACTGTAAATGAAAGGCAATCTCCTTGGTTTCCTTTCCTGAGGGAAGTCTGTGTGAGCCGTGGTCAACTCTGCAGGGAAGCCTTCTGACTTCTGTGTGGGCTTGTTCAAGTAGATCTGGCTTCTGTTGCACTTTATGTTAGCTTCAGGGGTGAGATGCAGAGATAAAAACAAAGGTCAGGAGCAGATCTGTAAATGACAAACATCAGAATCATGGAGCACATATGCCTCTCTCATTAGCTATAACAACTTTGGAAACCTTGGACTGCACCGATGTCCTGATATAGTCTCTTTAAACTTAAAAAACAAGCCTAGAGAGAGCATTTAGACACACTGCAGTATGCTCCAATTCAAATAAGGTCATGGAGTTGCACTCTCTAAACCTGCCATTATTCCTGAGGCACTACAAAGGACATCAAGGATACATTTCAACTGTTTCAAGTCAGACAATCACAGCTTCTTGCCAGCTTTTGATTTTTTAGTCTGGAAGCAAGATGCATGCAGTCATTACATCTATTGGTCCCCAGCCCTGTTAACTAATTTTAACCAAATCCCATGGAGGAGTGAGGATCTCACGAGCCTTGTGAAATCTGGTGGTATGTAAAGAGGAGGTACTGCAGCCTCAGCAGCTATCTGTTGTGTCACTCTCAGCCCACATGTCCAATTACCATGCATACATCTCCATACTGGCTGTCTCTTATCCTGTGTGGAGGGCACAGGAGGGTAGTGTAGATGGCAGACAAGGGGAGAAAGCAAAATCATCTGTAGAAAACCAGTCTCCAGTAGTTCCACTGCTGAGAGGCCCAGGAATTTTTTACTTGCTCCATATAGAATGAGCATTTCTATATGCTGCAATCTTATAGAAAACAGGCAAAATCTTAAACCACTCATCCATGTCCAGACTTATAATTAATTCCCACAAGACCCTCATCTCAAATTAATAGATTGGGCAAGGGACATAATGAAAAAGCACTCACCCAAATAAACCAGAAAAGCCAAATTATTGGTTTGCATGAGTAAGCACTGGCTGGGTAAGCGAGGGCTAGGCAATGTAGCATGAACTCACAAAGAAAGAACATTATTGAAGTTTAAATTGATAAAACCTTGAGGAAACTTGAGTCATTGGTGATAAATTTCTGCCTTCAGAGGAAATTAGGTTTAAAGGAAAAGGAGCTGGTTTAAAATATATTTAACATCTCAAATTTCATGTATTTATGCCAAAGTCGCTTTCCCACTCCCACAGACTGGGAACAGAAATTGTGGTCCTCACTTGCCTCTTTGAAAACTGCAGCATCGGTTGTTTTACAGTCAAATAAGCAGTGAGGTCAGGAAGGAAGCAAGTCTGGAAAAGTTAATGCTCTTGCGCTGGGTTTCATTTTTTAAATTAATTGGGTCTCTAGTTCTGCAGAAGTGGCTGGGAAAGGAAGTAATGCATGAAATCAAATGATGAGGAGCTTGTATTTTTGGGAGCTGCTTATGAAGATGGGATGATGGAGAATGTGAAGTAACCTATCCAATCTGACCCATTTCAGAAAAAAAAAAAAAATTGGCAGGAGACAGGTTTCTTTATCTTCATATATCCCCGGGCTGTTTCATGGTATGCTTTCTATTACACCAGGATATTGCATTCTTACCAGTGGTGCAGGATATCACACACTAGTAGCTGAGGGTCTGATGGAGGTGGGAGTGTGCACACGGAATGGATTAGAGGTTCACATCCTCTTGCTGTCATGTCACGTGAGGATTTTAAGGACTGAATCTGAGTTTGGAGAGGAGGAAGCTGCAGAGACAGCTATATCTTAATTACCTCTGGAAAGTTTACTGAAATGCTCAGAGAATTGCTCATCTGTCTGAACAGAAAAGCTGTCGAGAGCTCAAGAAGTAAATACCAGAGCGTTGAGATCAAACACATATCCTGAGGTGTATTGGGGACTATGTTATAAATAGGAAGGAAGAAAAAGCTCAGGAGCATTCAGGTGACCCCTCTCAACCCCTTTTTGTAGCTATGTTTTGACAGCATCTAAAATGTGATGTCAGTTCTTGATTATCTGGTTTGTGGACTAACTAACTTTGCCCTGATTCAGTAGAAGCACCTGATTCCTGTGGATGCAGTGGCCAGCCCTGGCTCCCAGCCTGCCTGTTCACTGGTGTGTGCCACTGGAATAGCTCCCCGAACAGCTGCCTGGCTGTTTTCAGCCTACTCTTTTCATTAGAGGTCTTATACTTGTTTTGTGTTATCCATGGGTTTACTTCATCTAGTTTATCTCGCAGTATTGGGTAACGGGTAGTGCTTGGCATTCTCATCCCATTGCCATTTTCATATCAAGCAGTTTTCTAGGTAACCTGTAAAAGACTGTGTTTGTTTATGTTCTGGGTTTGGGGTCAGCCCAGTTTGGAAACCTCAAAGACTGAAGCTGGGATCCAGGTCCTGTCTTGCTTTCTATAGATTAAAACTTTGGTAGGAACTCAAATATTTCATTGTTGTTTTCTTTTTTTTCTAGAAACAGCAGATTGTGGGCAAGGGTATTGGCAAAGAGAAAAGAAAATAAGGAAGAGAGTAAAACAAAAAATTTGTAAAAGCATTCTGATATGGATTGGGAGTGTGCTTCTGAGTGTGATCCTCTTCGTGCCATGGCCTTGGGGTGAGTAACCTGTGTTTCTTCCAAACAGAGTTAAGCTGAAAGATGTGCTCCGGAGGCGTACATAACATACCATGACAAGTAAGGGACATTCAGTCCATAGGATCACAAGAGGCAGTCTGAACTAAAATTCTCAGGAACACATGCAGTGAGGATGTCAGGGCCTGTGTTGCAGTTGTTTTGCTTTACAAATCCGGTCCTCCAAAACCGTGTTACCCAAATCTCAGTTTTCAGTATTGTACATTGCTATGTTTGACAAACTGCCTTAAGGCCTTCCCCAGGGGTATTTACACTGGATCCTCCTCATTTGAAAATAAAGATGCCATTGCTGGAAAGTCAGGCACTTTGTGACCTCTCTGATTTCCAGAACCTGCTCTTCTGCTCAGTCACACTTGCTGATGGTCTCCAACATGCTGCAGAAAACATTTGCCTGAGAAAGATTTTGGAAGTTAGAGCTATGATAAAAGAAAAAAGGCAACTGGTTGCCTGGCCGTGTTCTATGGGATTTCTTTCAGTGCAGTTGTAATATCTCCAGGATTTTGGTTGGGTTAATCATACAGAATTGACCAGCCTTTGCCACATATGTCTTTATTACTTAGCTATGCAGTGCTGAATAAAATGTGATAGAATTTTTTCTAAAGCATAATGACTTATTATGCTTTAAATAAAAATTACCAGCTACTCTGTGGTTAAAATACTTTGGGGACAAAACCTCAAAGCACATGACAGAAAAGTTCTTTTTCCATTCTTTTCAGTGACAGCTTTGCTATTGGGCTTAGTTTTCCCGTGGAAAAATGCAAGGTAATGATTTCAGTGGCATATCTCTGGAGTCACAGAGAAGCAAGAAGCAAGAAAGTGTCTGTAAACATTAGGGTTCTTACTGTCTAACAGGGCTGGGAAAATAAGTCAAGGTAGAGATACCTCCTTAGTGAAAAATAAGGAGTAGATATAAGGGAAGGCTGATTTACTTTATATTTGCTAGCCTAAATAAGGACTGGTAGCTGTAGTTGTTTAGCAGAATCACAGTGTTGCAATCTCTTATCATTCTTATCTGTGTCCGCTTTGGATACAAACAGCAAGAGATGGCTGAATCTGAAGAAACCCCCATTAGCCACACCCTTGATGCAACTCACATTCTTTGTGCATTTACTCAGGGCTACCAGGTTTCCTCACTCTCTCTTTGCTGTAGATTTCTCAGCTCTACAAACACCCAAGGAGACAATATTTTGAGCAAATGGTATTGAACATGGCATTGAACTTTGTGTGGGAGCTGGGAAGGGGTCAGTCAAAGGACTTGGAAGGGGCAGGATAAATACAACCAACGCCAGCCAATCATCACACCTGAGCTTGGCTTCATGCCACTTTTACTCTTCCTAAGGCAAAGTCTGTGGCATGGGCTTGTGTTTTGTTGTCCCCATCTCTTTGTCACTGTGGACATACGTGGGTTATGACAGGCTATGCAGTGGGTCAGGAAATAGGTGAGCAGGGCTCATTTTTTGCTTGTGCAGAACGGACAGTGACAGTAATGCAATTAGCAGTATCAGTGTTCATAATCAAACACCTGCTGTTACTAGTCACCCATCTTGAAAAATGTATGATCTGGTAATGTTCCTCCTCTGCACCACTACAGGCTGGGAGCTGACCTGCTGGAAAGCAGCTCTGTGGAGAAGGCCCTGGGAGTCCTGGTGGACAAGCAACTGTCCATGAGCCATGTCCATGAGAGGGGACCATATGAATGTATATATGTAACTGAAGGGAGGGTGTAAAGAGGATGGTGCCAGGCTCCTCTTGGTGGTGTCAAGCTACAGCACAAGAGGCAAAGGGCAGAAACTGATGCACAGGAAGTTCCCTCTGAATGTGAGAAAGAACTTCTTTGCTGTTCGGGTGACCAAGTACTGGAACAGACTGCACAGAGAGGTTGTGGAGTCTCCCTCACTGGGGATACTGACCTGTCTGAATGCAATCCTGTGTAAAGTGCTCTAGACTGACCCTGCTTGAGCAGGGAGGTTGGACCAGATGACTGACTATGGTCCCTTCCAACCTTACTCATTCTGTGATTCTGTGTTAGCTCTGCTTCTACTGACATCCGATTTATTGACAGCATGTTCAACTGTGCTGCAATCATAGAGTTGTATGATTTCTGGTTGAGTGAAGAACTATATGTAGTATAGCAATATCAGTGTAAGTCACCTTAACAAAATACAGAAATAAGGCAGAAGCTTGTTTTTATGTAGGAAGTTGTACTGTTTAGTAACAAAGATTTTGTATATAACATACCTTATTCCATGACAGTATCAGTCCTGATGTCCTTACCCATACAAAGTATAAAACTTAGTGAGGTAAAACACAGCAAGAAATGTCTAGTTTTGGGACTTGTTAAAGTTTGTGAAAAAACACAGTAGTCCCTATATGAAGTTACAAACACCAAAGGGATGGATGCTTTTAAGCAGGGAATATATTCTACCCTTTGAAAAGATCTACTAGATGGCAATGGAGAGGCCATATCACCCAGGAATTCAACTGAGATTTTGTGAGAGGGGAAAGATTAACTATACGGCAAGTAAATCTGCATATTTTTGTCAATATGGTGTAGTTATTCTTATGAAACCCTGATAACATTTTTCAGTTTATGTTACCAATTGCAATGTTTATCGTCAATACCGAAAGAATTTGCTATAGCCTTTTTTCTCTTATAATTACTTTAGACATTAATCAAAATGCACAAAACAATTTTTTTTTCTGCTTTCTACTGGACAAAATTTGGGGGTCTTTTCAAGGAGAAGACATAATTCAGAGAATAGATAGCTCACAATTTCTCCCATGCAACAGCCACACAGGTTTCATTTTTATACTTACTGTTTTGTTGCCCACTTTCATTAGCGTGTGAGCTGGTGCTGCAAATCCCCAACAGAGTTTAAATAATATTAAAAGTCTGTTCCTGATTTAAGTAAATTTTCCCTGAAAAATGCAACTCTGAACTTCATGACTGAGATGACAGATAAAACCTGGACATGAAAACAGTAAAGAACATGTAGGAACCCTTCGGAGATAATACTATGATCATGTGTTGAAATACTGACTGTGCAATTTACTATAACTAAGGTTTGATTTCAATACCCATGTGTGATTTCAATACTCATGTGTTTGTTGTTGTTGTCCTTTCTAAATGATGCTATACAAACAAAAAACAGCATTAAGAGAGAGAGAGAGAATCTGAGTGCGTAAAAATGCATCCCTTTTCATCAGGGACAGTCTCTAGAAGCAGCATGATCCAAGAAGGTTTAAGCAGAATGTTTAGAATTAATAGCTCTGGAGTGATAACCCTAGCTCTGCCACTAACACTCTGCCCACGGCAAATTATTTTACATCTATAAAATGGAAATGATAGCTACTAACCTGCTTTACAAGAGATTTGCAAAGATAAATCAGTTAATGTTTGTGCAATGTTTTCAACATGCAAAATGCCATAAAGCTCCATGAATTATTACCTGAGCCCTTGCTTTAAAACCTCAGTAGAATACAAACTACAATGCAAAATACAATGTCAACTATCTCAAAAAACATGCAAAATCTGAGCAAATTGATTCTAAACCCCTGCTAATTCAGCTCTACTTCATTTCTCCTCTTCCAGTAAAAGGCCTGCCCTTTAGAATCACTTTTGCAACACAAAGAGAAGAACTGCATTGCCATCCAGGAATGGTTGCTGATGAATTTTTTTGGAGGGTAAATGCTGACCCGCTCTCAGTGGATAATGAAAAACAACATGTTTTTGTTTCATTTAAGGAAAGGACCCAGTAGCAGGGATTTCTTTACTCTTGAGAGGATTTTGAGACTCTATTCTTTTTTGAGGGAATGTGGAAGAGATATGAGAATTAATCCTGCTTTTTCCACTGATAGGAAAATCAGTTATTCATCCTCTTAACAGCTTCTCTCCACATGTGGCAAAGTAATCAGCTCAGTGGTGCAGGCAAGTGGTCGTGAGCAATTGCAGCCAAATTCTGCAATCCAGAAGTATCTTCATATGAAAGAACTACCAGCTTACATGGACTTCACTTCAGAGGTCAGCATGTTTAGGCTTAATATATAGAAGACAGGAGATATATACATACCATGAAGCAAGCAAGTAAGAAGAAAGCTGAAAAAAGATATTGTATTTAGTATTCTCACGATGAACTATCAATTTAAAAATTCGTGGTCAAAAGACTGGCTTTTGTCCCATGACCTTTGATGCATGCACACATACAGCTGGTAATAAAAGTTTTGCAACATGAATATTGTATGACCTTGGTAAAATTCATGTAATTACGTTAGATTTAAAGGAGTTGTACCAAAGGCAGTCACCGGGTATGTGACCAGTTGTTCAGGGAAAATGTCATGTTTGAATTCAAACCATTTCAGAAACTGTTCAAGGCCTGAAATTCCTGCCTGTGATAAGCTTCTCAAACCACAGTCTTAGAGTCTCTTTATGTATCTCACGACCTTGGCAAGCAGAGCACAATGCCACAAAAATAACACATTTGTGCTCACAAAGGTGGGAGGATGGAATCTACGGCAGCTTGCTGTGCAGCCCCTTCAGCAGTACTGCACTACCAGCAGCAGATGAGAGTATCCTGTAGCAGATATCTGCAGTGTGGGAAAAAAAATTAAAGGGGAAATTGCCTAGGCTCTCCTTGCTCACCATGCTGGCAATGAAGGAGGAGTTTAGTTTGGATCAAATACTTGAGTTTATGTGCATTTATGTCAGGACAGTACGTGACGGGAGATGAAGCAAGCATGAAATGTTCCTGCTCAGTATAGCAGGTAGAATCATAATTGCACAAAAAAAAAGTCTGCAAAGCAAGTATTTGTTCTTTAGCATGTTAGGACGGGACTTGGACAAGTTTCTCCACCGAGTTCACATGCAAAAGATGTTTTCTTTTTTTCCTATGTTTAGTTTGTTTTTCATTTGTCACTTTGAATCCTTTCTTTTTCTAGATTTTAAAAACTCTATTGCCTCCTGCTCAATGTCCACATCTAGGGGCATATTTTTATTTAGTACAGAACTGATTTGAAGTTCATTTCTTGGCTATCTTAATTGCACTTCCTTTCTTATCATGCAAGCTGTAATCGTCAGTGTGTGCTGAGGATGCTTTGCAAATCTTCCCTCCCTAGAAGCTGATCTCTTTTTCCTGGGTCTCTCACTTTTAAAGATCCTCCTATTTGTCTAAATAAATCAAAATGAACCACACACACACTGTGTTTACAAAGTTGCATTGTATGAGAATCTTGGAAGCAAATTGCATTTATATTGTATTGTAAGCTCAGGTTCTGCCCTCAGTTACAACCATGAAACCAATCACCTGAGTAGAGTTCCTGGGATGTTATTAATGTCTGAGTTTACCTCGAAGTACATCTTTCACATTATTTACAAAATATAATCAAACCAGAATGTCAGCCACAGCATTCAAAAGCTGAGTTGTAACCCAATTCATCTTAATAAATGATCACAGGCATGGTGGGATGATACATGGTTAAAGCTGGTCAGGTGCTAGGATAAGTAAATGAGTTGGTAGTTTTCTTTGTCTGGTTAAGACAGTAACTAGTTAAACTATCAGAAAAAAGAAAAAGATTTTACAGAGGAAGTTGACTGGTAGAAGAAGAGTAAGGTATCTCTCGGAGGAACATGAATAACAGAGGAAAGTAAAGGTACACTCAGTGGCTATTTTGCAATCTATTGTGTTCCAGTGCCCTGTGATAGACACAGGCATTTAGCACGTAGTTTCCCAAACCTCATGTCATTACTGACTTCAGTTCTGGAGTTCCCACCTAATCATTACAGTTTTAACACTTCATATCCTATTGCCTGTGTAATCTAGGTCTTCTCAAGAACTTTATGAAGAAATTACCCACCATCATTTAACAAGTTTGAGTGTTGAATCATGATTTACTCGAAGAAATCCCGGCCCAGACAAGTGGCACTTTTATGTCCTATTTACGTACCTGAGCAACAAGACAGTGTTTCCTCCCACTTTCCAGAGGAACAGCCTGTTAGAAAAAGAGCTTGTAACCATAAGCACGTTTTAATGAACACTGAATAGCTTGGTTTTGCCTCTTGGAGGAAAACACGTTGGGGGGAAGGAGCACTGTACATGCCCTCTTTTGTTTAATGTCTGTGGATGTCCCTGGAGCACCTCAAAAAAACTTGTATGATTGTGTGGTCACTAAGTAACTTGCTACGCGGAACAAGGAGCACTTTCTCACTGCTGGTGGCAGGGGAATAGAAACGGTACGAGCAGATACGGCCCCTGTTATCCGTGTGCTAAAAACGCACAAATTCAGCGCGGTTTTATTTCACCCACACACTTGGCCTTCCAAGTATTGGCAGCAAAATGCCGAGAACGAGAGCAGGACTATTCGCAGAGGCCAAGCGGGCTCCGCTGATTTCGGAGAGAAGAAACGAGGCCGGAGCTCCGGAGATGCTCCCCTAGGGAGCAGACTGTACCTCCGGAGCGGCTTCGCCGCTGCTGCTCTCCGGTAAAAGGCCTCAGTCCTTCCTCGCTCGCACTCCTCTACCTGGCGCTGCAACGGGACAGTTCTCCCTAAAGAACGGGGCAGGACAGCGTTTCTGCTGCAAACCCCCCGGGGCACCCGCACTCCCGCAAATCCTCTGCCCCCCGTCAACACTCCCGGGAGGAAAGACAGAAGCTGTGCCAGGGCCACGCCGCTTTTTTGCGAACAGCGGCGCAAATGCACGCTCATGCCTTTGGCAGCTGCCGGACAGAAGCTGCCGGGAAGTAGAAAATCTCCCCCACCCTTCCGAGCAAGGACGAACGTCTAAACTACCTCCACCCCACTCACACCTCCCCTCATGCCATATTCCGGGACAGGTGGCGGGTCCACCCCTTCTCCACCTGGGCGGGGAAGGCGCCGCCAGTTCCTCCTCCCCCCTCCTCCTTGCTCCCTCCCCATCCTCCTCCTCCTCCTCCTGCTCGGCGTCCCCAGAGGGAGCCCCTGTGCTCCGCGAGTGAGCAGAGAGCGCAGCCGGGCGCAGGCCTCCGTCCAACAGCAGGCTCCAAAACCGCTTCTTGCGCAAGCCCGCGCACAGCCGCACGCCGCCTGCAGCAGGAGGAGCAGAGGGGGGAGGAGAAGGAGGAGAAAGGCAGCAGCCCGCCCGCAGCGGGGCACGCACGTGTGCGCGCAGACCTCGACGGTCGCCCTCCAGCATGCTGCTCGGAGCCGCGCAGGGCAGAGCGCCCGAGAGGAGCTGAGCGCGGCCGCGGGAGAAGAGAGGAGCAGAGCAGGAGCGGGCTCCGCGGAGATCCTCCGTGGCGCCCGTCCCCGCCGACCCCCACCCCCAACTTTCGCCGAGGGAGCGGCCGGTCCCGCAGTATGGGCGGCGCGAGCCGCCCGTCGCCGCTTGCCGGGCCCCGCCGAGGCCGCTGTCCTGGTGCTGCTGCTGGGGAGCGGCCTCGCTCTCTGTCTGTGGCCGTGGAGGGAAAGAAGGTATGGAGGGCGTGGGGGGCCGGGGCGCGGGGGTCCTGCCGCCGCTTTGCCGGCTGCGCCCCGGGGAGACTGCCGTTGGGGAGCGGAGGAGGGGAAAGTCCAACTACTTTTTTTCCTTAAAAAAACCCAAACCCAAACCAACCAAAAAACCAGACACCGAAAAACCCACCCATCCAAAAACACAGAAAAAGGAGAAAAGGGGAGAAAACCAAAGCTGTAACAGCGATCACGCAGCCCTGACTTCCTGATTCTCGGCTTATTTTCTTTTGTGGGGGTGGAGGAAATAAATGGGAATAAGCCTTGGCACATCTCATCGTTTGTGCTTCTTTCCTTTTGGTGTTTCTTTTTTCTTCCTCCCCCCTTCCCACGTTGCCCAATCGCTCCCCGGAGCGCGCTCCCCGGCTCAGCCCCGCACCGCCGCTCCCGGCACCCCCGCGCCGTGCCGGCGGGGAAAAGCCCCGTAGTTCCCGAGTAAGAGCCGCTCCGGTAACCCGCCGTCACTCTGACCTGGACTCCTCCGCTTGTCCTGTTAGAAGATATTACTAATAATAGAAAAAAAGCATACACCTGGGACTGGGGTGGCTGCAAAGAGGGGAAACTTCATGTGGGTTCTGGTTCCCCAGTTACCCAAAAGAGGAGTGATTTATCCCTGCCCGACCCGGCGCGAAGGAGCCGCCGTTCCGTCCCGTCCCGACCCTGCCGGCGCTGCCAGCCCCAGTCCGGCGGTGCGTGGGAACAGCACGGCGCGGGCTGGCTCTGGGGCTAGAGGCGTGGGGCTGGTGGTCGGGTTTTCCTTTTTCGTTTGAGAAACTGCTTTAGAGGGTGAGAAAACGTTTCTGGCCGGTCAGACCCGTCGCTGTTTCTCTGTGTGTGGTGTTCTCTTTTGTGAGTTTGGAGAGCAGGCCCCGGCTGCTGTTCCAGCCGGAGAGCAGTCCTCTTTATCTTGGAAATCTGCCAGCCAGGGGAAAAAATGCAGATTTGGGTGGTTTGATTTTTTTTTTCCCTTTCATTCTTTTTAAAGAAAAAGCGGGAGAAGAGAATTAGTTTTTAGAAGAGCTGGTGCATGCCTTATAGCAACTGAGTTAGTCTTTCGTGACTGTGGATAGTAAAGCCGCCCTGAAAGTGAGAAACACCCCGTCCAAAAGAACTGGTTGCACAACCTTTAAAAAGCGGAGAGATTCTCTTGTTCCAGAAATCAAGTTCATACCTGTTGTTGATGTAACATAGGCAGTTTTTTCTTCCCGGTTTTCTTTTTATTTATTTATTTTTCCTCACCCTTTGAAACTGATGAGAAGCAAAGTGACTCCATCTGCTCTGCCTGCGTTAAAAGTGTTTTGAGGTTCAGTCTCAGGTGCACATGCCCTGTGGAATATTGGTAAAGTATGAGGAGAAATACCTTATTTATATTGTTTAATTCTGTGTCTCATAAACTTAGTAGGGTGCCAGTTATTTGAGGATTACTAAATAATCAACAGCTAAGTGATAAAGCCAGTGGAGATAATTCTTGGGATGTTGTGTCAGCAAGTAACTGTTCCTCTGGGAAGAGCTGGAGGCTCAGTGACAGAGGTAAAGGCAGAAGGATTTCTTCAGGAAGCATTAATCGATTCATTGGTCTTTATTAGTTTCGCTGTTTCTCCCCACACTTGAAGATAAGTAAGAAAATTACTCAGGAATACAAAATAAAGCAACATTTGAGAATTATGAGATACTGATTTAAAGCAGCAGGCCCAACAGGTTAGCAGAGTATCAGCACATGTTGAGG